ATTGTGTATTGTACAAATACAATTACAATCAATATTTGTTGTTTTATATTTTTCATTTTCTATTTGTTGACTGTTACACTTTCGTATGCTTATTGGTGTTGAACAATCTAGAAGTGTTGATAACGTTCAACACTTCTGCATTTTGTCAGATGAACGTGCAGATTTGTCAGATGCTTGCTTCACGGTGAAAAATGGTAATTATCAAAAATTAGCGTTTTTCTCCCTAATTAACGAAACTGATGCCAGCAGATAAAATATGTGAAATTTAATCTCTGACACTTTTTATCCAGGGCTCGCAGATCTAGGATGTCTTGCTGTTGAGAAAAGTAGTAATTACGTGTTTTTCCTCCTCGAATGTCAATATGTCGCTAATTTACGTTTAAGTGGCGTCAGGTGTCACTACTCTACTATTGCGCACGGACGGATGGACGGACGGACATTTCGTTTGTATGACCCAAGACTTTCAGTCAAGGGAATAATGCACTTTTATGTTTATCATGCGATGATAACGCTCAAAAACAAATGATTGGTTCATGCCGCTTATATTATCAATGAAACGCTAAAAAACTTTAATTGATTGATGAATTTGACGTGAATATCAATCAAATGATGCTCTTCGTTGATATTTTAAAAATTCATTTCCTCAAACCTTAATTAACAACGCTCCGCAAACACAAGACATTGATCAACCTTATTGATTACGATATTTTTTCAATGATTTAATCAGATGTTTGTCACATCAAAATCAACATTTACTCGCTCTGGTAAAGAGCAGTCCGTTGTTTATCGAGAAATGAAATATCAAACAATGAATTTAAACAATTGCAACAGAATAAAGGCAAGCTTATATCAATGAAAGGATTTTTAATGCCAACAACTGAGCAATTATCATTAGATGCATCTAAATTATCTAGCGGAGGGAGTGATCTTATGACTGTCCTGTTCGAAACCGAATGCAATTTCAAAGATTTGAGGAACAGTTTCGCTTGTGCTGATAGAACGCAATTTATAGAAGTATCTGCTCAAGAAACCGTCCAAATTGATTTTAACACTACTTTTCGATTAGAAATTATCCAGGAAAATAATAGGCTATGGCTGATTAACTTAAATGCAATAAATGATGAATATAATACGGGGCATTGGCCTATGACTGAATGCCCTTGCAGGCTTTAGTTAGTAGAAACTGAGATACCGGGTGTAACTCGATTATGCCATCACTCGCTAATTTAGAGTTTTTAACTTAGTTTTATTCATATTCGTAGTGTCATTCTCATGAAATGATAATTTCCATACATCGAGCAACTGAGATAGTATATGTAGTTAAAATGAAATTTTTGTTTATTTTCTTTTATTCCTTCAAAAAAAACAGAATATTCACTTTATGCCCAAGTATTTTTGTTGTCTCTTGAAGTATCCAATACCCATATAAACATTTTTTAGTGGTAGACGCGTCTGAAAACGCATGTTCGACGCACGCAGACGCGTCTACGTGCATCGAATTTGCACCATTTCGCTATGTTAAAACGCGTCTTTCCCAAATGCGTCAAGACGCGCCTAAAATAGACGCGTTTAAACGCGTTTTTTCTGTAACAGACTCGTTCAGACGCGCCTGTTTAAGAAAATGTTTTGTAGCCGCGTTTAAACGCGTCTTTCTTATGCGCGTTTAGACGCGTCTGGGAAATTTTTCTTAAAAAAACGCGCTGTAACGCGTCTGTTACAGAAAAAACGCGTCAAACCGCGTCTTTTCAGACGCACAGAATTTACATGGGTAATCCTTTGTCATATAAGTCTTTCATGATGCACGAATAAAAGACATCTGCAGGTTCTTCCTTCACAGGGCGGCATAATGTTTTGAGAGCTTCGAGGCCACCTGGTGCATTCTCATTAGATTCTAACATTTTTCCAAGCGAAATGTAAGCAAGTCCATATCCAAAGAGTTTTTGCTTGTCAATTTCTTTCTTCTGAATTGCATGAACTTCGACAAGATCAAACTTACCATTTCTATGCATTCCTTTGATGACCCATGTTTGGCGTACATGTTTGTCCTTAAGAATTGTAGCCGCTAAGAGTGTCGTTTGATTTTCTTCAAGTTCAAGCACCTTCTGTAAAAGTATGCATCGAGTAGGTTCTTTCGTTTCTTCAATCATTTCCTTTAATTCTTCTTTTACTAAACCTTTTGTAAATTCATGTTTCAACTCGATAGAATCACGCAAGAACGTGAATAAGTTTGAGTTATTGGTGATCTTCTCTATATTATGCATAGCATCAAGTGGTTTGAAGACGTCAATATGCGGGATTGTTGTTGGAAGCGAATTATCAGTCACTGTAGACATTGTGATTATAATCTAGAAAACAAATATAAAGATTGATAAAGTAGTGGAAAACCAACACCTTATTAAGACACCAATAAAGAACGAGAAAACCGTGCAAAATTCATTATTATTCACTCATTATTTAACCTATGAAACGTCTATAATGATATGACATCCTGAGGTTATATATATGGAATAAACAAGAGGTGAATATTGAGTCCTATAAAACGTTATTGTTTCAGGCGTATGTACTATATCTCTCTACATGATATTGTTGCTGATACCTGTCTTTTTGCTCACATTGTTTTGCTTTTGTCCCTCTCCTCACATTCTTTCATTTTTTTTCTCTCATTCGGTTGTTGTCATTTCAAATCCATTCATTCTCAAGAAATAAACCAGCTTATGTAAAGCAACAAAGAACTTCTCATACGTAAAAGGAGTTTTTACCGAAGTTTACCCCGGAAAAGTTGAAGTTTTTACCGTAAGGCGGTAACAGTTAAAAAGATCGTTTATCGGACTACAGTTTTGACTTTGAATACAAACATTAATCGCACAAGCTCGGTCGCTAACGGTAAAGGAATTTGTAGGGAAGTTTCGCACGGTAAAGTTTTGAGATATTGTACAGGTTTGAAATTACCGCGGGAGAAATCTGATATTGCTACGGAAACGTCGTTAACGGTAACACGTTTTTACCGTTACCGCTCATCTCTATTCAAAGGCAATTCGAATGTGTCTGATGATTTCATTCAGATATTTTTCTGCATTCTATCATCTTGGCGCTTTTCTCTCCTCTTCAAGTATTATTTTGCTTTGCTAAGTCGCTTTGCTCTTTTGTTTTCTTTTTTCTTTCGTGATCGGTTGCTTCAATTGAATGATTACATTCAGTTCACCGTCGCAGAGCATCGGAACAACGACTATCGTCGCTTTGCCTGGGCGCCCGATTGTTTGCTGCTAACGTCTCTGATCTTTCATTCTGTTTATTATGCCAACATGACGTAGTGATATGCTACCAGCCATCGGGTCAAAGTTTAGCGCAAAAATCATCTCCAGGCTCGTCACTCATTTCAGAGTATCTGACGATTATCTCAGCGCTCTTTTGAAAGTTGTCTCTCATCCGAAGCACAGAAACAATCTTCCAGCCGGTCGCAAACTATGCGGCTGAATACCACTATACACCGTTCAAATTAGAATGCCAACCGAAATTAAATGATGAGAAAGATGGAGTAAAATTAATAAATGATTTGATTAAATACATTAAAACAGATTTTATAACTCAAAATCCAATGTTTTCAAAACCATTGTTGGTAGATTTATGGTGGATTGATCCTCAAGGGAATGTCCAAATGGTAATTAAAACAACAGAATTATACGTTTATTTATGCAAACAAGAGAGACACCCTAAAACATTAAATAATACTACAATCATTCCTCATCTACCAGCCCATCTTCCACCACAACACATTGTTTTAATAAAATATGTCAAAAATTTGGTTACCAATGATGATGTAAAAGATGAATTGAACTCTCGTTTCGAAAGTGTATTTGCAATCGACTCTATGTCAGGAGCAACGAATGAACGCAGTCGACACGTGAAAATTGAATTCCTTCAAAAGAATGAAATAGATAGTTTATTAAATTCAGGTAAGATTAATTTACAAGGACAACTCTACGACGTGGACGAATATCTTCCTTCTCCAAAAATACTTATCTGTGGAAGATGTAATAAACCTGGACATGTGAAGAAAAACTGTCAGAATTCTGCCTTTGACATTTGTCGAAGATGCGGTGGTGATCGATCTAATATACAACAACATAAAGAATGTGCAATTTGCTGCCACAATTGTGGAGGTCAACATGTATCGATGACTTTAGATGTCCTCTAATCGCTGATTATCGAAATGAATTGATTGAAGTCTTAAGACGTCATCCAGAAAGACTGCCGGCAGACGTGCAACTCTTCATACCTACAGCTTATCGTGAGGAAGGCAGTCGATCAAAATCAATATATAATAAAGAAGCTCGTCTTCAACTTCTTCAGCAGCAAAGAATCCCACAACAAATTTATGACAGAAACGATCAAGCAGCCTGGCCTTCTTTTCATCCTTCCCTCACAACGGCTTCTACAACAATAAACTCAGCAAAGAATAATAATATGAGTGAAATAATGAAATCGTTTTCAGATGAATTGCAAGGTTTACAGAGGAAACATGTAGAGGCTCAACAACTAATAGAAATGAAGCACCAGAAAAATCTTAGTATAATGAAAACCGCATGGATGATTCTTCAACAATCTCAACAAAGTCAACAAGAGATGATAGCAACAATGAACACTGCTATTAATCAATCTATCTTCTCTTCTTCTATAAAGACTGCTACAAGTGTTGCTCAATATATGACTTGACATCTCTCAACTATCCGACATCAAGTATACAAAAGCAAAGTATAGGTTATCACATTTATATAGTTCTTTCTAGCATGGACAAACATTGGTAGCATGACTAGTACACGATACTTGCACACAGCATCCACATTAACAAATGGACAAGTGTTAGTTACTGGTGGATACACTAGTAGTGCTGCTACAAGTGGTGCTGAATTGTGTGATCCAACCTCAGGAAACTGGACAACTACTGGTAGCTTGCATACTGCACGATACGAGAACACAGCAGCCACATTTTGGTTTTTAGACTGAAACACGTAATTTATTTTGTGTGATTGAGTTTTCGTGCGCTAGACGCCGTACCTAATGCTCTCTGCTGGAGCACTCTGTTTCTCTGGGCGGAGAGCTGGTGTCCTCCTTCACCGTGTGTCGCAAGAAACCTTGTGTTGCTAAATTCACCCCACCCTCACACCCACCACGTTGCCCTCGGACTGTGCTGTTTATTATAAATAACGTGAATCGTATTGATTCACTAAGTCCATTGACTGTAAGCTGGATGAATGTACTGTCGGAATTATTATTCATTCTGTTCCAATTCGATCTTGTTACCACAGAATTGAAAGATATTTTTTACGATGAGAGCATCCATGTTTTCTACCTGAGTTTACAGAGCAGTTGCTATAGCTTTTTACCGGTCAGAAAAGTTTGTGAGAGTGAGTACGTGTTTCGAAGGCAAGTATAGAGTAGAAGTCAAGTCTGTTAGCTCACTTTCCGAGGAAATTATCTAAAAGTTACTCCTGTCTCATAGGAGGGGAGTAAGAAACACCAAAACTACGAATAAATGTGACTTACCATGAGAAAAAAAATGCATCAAAGTATATAAAGTAGCGAATAGTGAATGTATGAGATCAACGAGTTGGACGTATATAAGTTTTTATTGAAGTCAAAAACAAGAAGAATTAAACCAGCTTAAATAATAGATCACACACAAAAGATAAAAGGAAGATAGAGATCTCTTGTTTTTCGTTTTTCTGAAAACACGAGGCCGACAACGTGAGATGAATATACAACAATAAAGATGACTAATGAAAGAAGAACAAAAAAAGGAATGTGATTAATCACTATGTGGACTAATAAAAAAGAACACTGTTCATATAGTGTCACAGTTAGCGATAACAGCATGTTGGAACTAACAAAGTCTATCAAATCAGCATGAGTTCACAAGTTATATGACTCTCAAAAGTTTGAAAGCGTCATAGCGTTGTTTAGTCAATTTGTTTAGTTCATCAAGTCTCTGTAATTCTTTTGTTTGCTCTTGATTTGGTTTTATCTGTAATACAGACTTTAGAAATGGACGTAATATTACCAAATCTCTCAGTCTTTTTACTCTTGATAACGGAACGTAAGTGAGGGCAACATTTGGCCTCGTTCCTGGTGCCAGTACTAAATCAATCATGATTTCTGGGATTATTTGAGATCTGATTTTATTTTCGATTTTTGGATTTCAATTAGAGCATATAATGGATATTTCAGAGTGACGGTATTTGGAGGAAACCGGTTCGGTTGTGCTGGGTCTAATGATGATGACGATTGCTGTTCATTGATTGTTTTGTCTTCTTCATCTCTTGGTTCTGTATAAACAAGTGAGTGAAATGTTCTAGATGATCCATTCGATAACCCGAGCTCTGTTGCTATGTTATCAGTCAATAACACCGGCATTCCTAGACGAAACTAATCGAAATATTATTTTTTAGTTCTTCATAAAGGTTGGTTCTTAATTCGTACCTTTGACTAACGGTAAAATACCAGGAAGACCATCGGTTTTGTTGTCAGGCAACACTTGTACGAATTTGCGCAAGGTGCGATTGTCGATTAAATTGGATTTAATTGTATCAACACTAGGGCATATAACTACGGCTTCGTTGGTTTCTAATGATCGGGAAGCTACAGCAAGGTTATTTAGCAGCGTTCGTAACTCGTTGTGGAAAACTAACATTGGTGCCCAGTGGATCGTGTTTAATGATTCAACTTCACCGCCACCAACGACACGAGTTTGTAGTAATTCATAATCTGCATCTGTGCATCCGCCTCGACGTAGTCGTCCGAGCAGAGCGTTGAATTTTTCATCTTCGGTTCGCATTTGCTGAGTTAATTCTACACACGTATTGATTTGGAGCCACAACGATCGGCCAACTTTGCACCGAATTTCTTTCTCGGAAACACCCTTCAAACTCTTAGACTGGTTACTAGTTGTATCGTCAGTGTCGTCGAAAATACTCGTGTATAGCGGAAATTTTTATAAAATGGGCTGGGCTTGCTGGGGTTGTTGTATTCTCACTGACAATACACGAGAATACGCCAGAATACGCAACTATAAAAATATCTTTAAAATGTGCTGGGTTTGCTGGGCCTGGTGTATTCTCACTGAGAATACACCACAATACGCAACTATATCAATTTTTATAAAATGAAATCATTTTGCAAGAATGTGTAGAACCAAAAGTTATCAACAACCACATCAGGCACAAGCGTTCAACTACCCTAATTACAAGGAAAATAATAAGTATTGCCTAAGCTCAAATAGGTCATCAAATATAACTTCAATTGATACAGAACAAGCAGCAACAACATCACAGCACAAGTGTTCAGATTCAACTATTGATAATGAATATTTATTTATGTTGAAATCAGATAATGGTAAATTTCCATATGCGAAAGTCACATTTAATGATTTTCGTGGTAATAATACAATTACAATGATGATTGGTACTGGCGCATCTATTAATGTGATTGACGAACAAGCATATGAACAATTAAATCCAAAGCCAAATTTAATTGAAAAGAAAAACCAAGCATGGGGTTTTCAATCAGATAAACCAATTGCGTTTATGGAACAATTTACATGTAATGTTTCCGTAAATGATAAACAAATCAATGCTGATTTTGCAGTGGTAAAAGGACGGGAAAAATGTATTTTAAGTTTTGAATTATGCAAACAGTTGGGTATCGTCAAAATACAAAGCAACGTTCACAATATTAACGGTAACGAATTCGTTGGAAAAGTGAAACGTGATTATCCAAATGTTTTTAGGGATAAAGTCGGTAAGCTTAAGAATTATGTCGTGAATTTAGACATTGATAAAAGCATCAAACCAGTTAAAATGAAGCATCGACGAATTCCATTTAGTTTAAGAGAAAAAATGAGTACAGCTATTACGAAAATGTTAAATGATGATATTATTGAACCTGCCAGTGGTCCAACAAAATGGTTGTTACTAGCTATGGCAGTTCCAAAGAAAAATGCTGAAATACGAATTGTCATTGATGCACGTACAGCGAACAAAGCAATAAAACGAACACGTCATATAACACCGACAATTGATGAAATTGTATCAAACATACATGGTGCAAAAGTATTCTCCAAAATAGATTTGCGACAAGGGTTTCATCAAATTGAAATTGGCGAATCAAGTCGTTATATCACAACATTTAGTTGTCATGACGGTATATATAGACACAAAAGATTGAATATGGGTATCACACTAGTACCTGAAATTTTTCATTTTATTGTTGAACATGACGTTCTTCGATGCTTACAAAGTGTTAGAAACATACAAAATAATATTTTAGTTTATGGTATGAATGATGATCGCCATGATGAAAATTTAATTTAATTGATCAAACGTTTGGATGAATTAGGCCTAACTGTGAACATTGATAAATGTGTATTTAAACAACCCAAAATCGAATATTTTGGACTGGTGTTTTCACAAACTGGTGTACTGAAAGTAAAATTCGTGCTTTAAAGGAAGCAAAAGCTCCAACAACACCTGGTGAAGCAAATAGTTTATTAGGCCTAAGTCAATATTGTTCAAAATTTATTGAAAATCATGCAATGATTATTGAACCAATACGTAAATTAATGCGTGATAAGGCAGAATGGAAATGGGGTGAAGCTGAAAACAAAGCATTACAAGCATTTAAAGAGGCATTAGCTAATAAATCATTAGCGTTTTATAATCCAAAATGGAATTTGGAATTGGTCGTTGATGCAAGTTCAATCGGTTTGGGTGCAATATGAACTCAAGTGAATCCAAAAGATCCAAGAGATAAACGCGTATTAAGCTTCGCAAGCCGGGCATTATCTGACGTTAAGCGCCGATACTCACAAATCGAAAAGGAAGGCCTAGCATGCGTATGGGGCTGCGAAAAGTTCCATATGTATCTTTACGGTCGAACCTTTACACTGGTAACAGACAATAAAGCCCTACAATATATTTTCAAAAATCCAAAAGCAAAAACACCAGCACGTATAGAAAGAATGTGTTTACGTCTGGCCCAATACGATTTCATTGTAAAACATCATCCTGGTAAAGGCAATCCAGCTGATTATTTATCTCGCAATCCAATTATATCAGAATTTAAATCATCAAATGGTACTGAAGGATATATTAATTGTTTATTTGAACATGCCTTACCAAAAGCAACCACAAAAGAAGAATTATTGAACGAAATTTTGAACGATAAAGTACATCTGATGGAGCAATTATGAGGAATGATAAAATTGTTATTCCAGAAAGCTTATATGATCGTGTAATTGATATAGCGCATGATGGGCATCAAGGCGTCAAGAAAACAAAAGCATTATTGAGATCAAAAGTGTATTTTCTAGGTCTAGATAAATTGGTTGAAGCACGTTTGAGTAGTTGTTATACTTGCCAAATAAATTCACCAACAGTGCAACATGAACCATGTCAAACGTCAGAATTACCATCAGGTCCATGGCAATTAATTGCATTAGATTTTTATGGCCCGACTGAGTCAGGTACATATTTATTATTGATTGATTATAGACGAATATTCACGATTTGTAATAATTCATGAAGTGAATACAACGGCATCGCACTATGTATTACCAAAATTACACGAATCATTGTCACTATTTGGTATTCCACAAATAGTTAAAACTGACAATGGCCCACCATTTAATGGAGCTGAATTTGGCAATTTTTGCAACTATTATGGCATAAAACATAGAGCTATTACACCATATTGGCCAAGAGCTAACGCAGAAGCTGAGAGGTTTATGCAAAATTTAAGAAAGGTATTCCAAAATGCAAATATAAATCAAATAGATTGGCATTTTGAATTGAATCGGTTTCTTGCCGCATACAGAGCAACTCCTCATTCAACGACAGGAATAGCACCGTCAAGTTTGTTATTTAAGCACGAGTCCTGTTCAAGATTGATTCAATTATATGAGAAACGTCCATTTCAATTTAATAATGATGATATTTCAGCTAAATTGAACGATGAGGTAAATAAACAAAAAGTGGCGAAAGATTTCGATAGCAGACATAAAATCAAAGAAGCAAATTTTAAAATTGGCGACGTAGTCTTATATCAACCCCCAAAGTACAAGATATCAAATAAAAAGAATTTCGGAAGACATACAGAACCATACAAAACATTAGGTATAAAAGGGGCAATGATAACAGTTGGCCGTGGCGATATCACATTTACAAGAAATTCATCGCATTTTACATTATTCAAAAAGAGAAATAACCTATTAAACAATAATAATCGATTTTATTGAGATCAAAAGTGTATTTTCTAGGTCTAGATAAATTGGTTGAAGCACGTTTGAGTAGTTGTTATACTTGCCAAATAAATTCACCAACAGTGCAACATGAACCATGTCAAACGTCAGAATTATCATCAGGTCCATGGCAATTAATTGCATTAGATTTTTATGGCCTTAAGGGCTTTACTAACTGAAAATTCAAATACAACAGCAACACGATTTTATTTAATCATTATTCATCTAACAATATTAGCATATATCGATAAAACAACATCTGTTAGTGATCGTATTTATTTTGCGTGGATAACCGTTTTCATGTGTCGATTTTGGTATATGTGGATTCAGTGTAATCCATTTAACACATTCGTTCGCTCCTAGAAATAATTCAAAAACAGCAGTGAAAAATAAACAGAGTGATAAAACAAAATTTTTTATCACAAAACCAACGTTTTTCTCCATTGAATTAAATGCACATACTTTAACATATGTAAGCATGCTATTGATAAATAAACAATTACCACCTGAATCATTAAATATATATGTATTTAGTTCACAATCATGCGAAGCCACGTTTCGAAATTGCAGAGCGTTATCAGGAACGTTTTCATCAGCAACAAATTTTAATGTACAGGAGTTTATCAAACGAAATGAAAAATTAGCTGTTTTAAGTGAAATTAAAACATATGAAAATTTAACGAAAAATGACTATCATATTAGATATCCTGTGCATCATAAACTTCATCATGAGAAAAAAGTATTATCTTTGTTTAACAGTGATGAACAAATAAGGATGTCCAATATAGAAGAATTGATTAACGAATCTTATGAAGTTGCAAAAGGTTTCATTGAAAAATTAGATATGTCGGATATTTTGATCGAGAACGGTTCATTTGAATTACATGAATTAAGCGAAAACGTATCGAATAAATTAACACACACTGGAAGAACAACAGATTACTCGCAAATTAGCGAAATGGATGGAATTAACGAAGAAGAGGAGAGTGATATCGAGTTGATTGCTGATGAATTGATAATATCTGATGAAGATGAAAATGAAGAATTGAATGGTGATGATGTAAAAGATAATAACAACGATGATAATCAGAATCTGCCACTAACAACAGCTAGGATGGCGTTCAGTGGAATGAGAATTCATGATGAAATCAATGTGGCTAATAAACAAGCTTATTTTTTCATAAAAGTTAACAACAGCGTAAAATATATGCACAAACAAACTGCATGCTGGTATTTGATGGGTGATAAAAACCATTTATCATCTGATAGACTTCTACGAGTTCAGCAAAAGCAACGTTGGTTTAAAATAACTATTTTGAGATGAATTTTTATCAAGTTTTACGAAGTTGACTTTTACACACTTAAACACAATGAAATGCTTTTTAATTAATTAAACAAAATTATGAACTCAAAAAATATTTGTTTCGCCCTACTTATCTATTTAAGGCTCCCTCCCTCAGAAATGCTGATTTTCGGTCACAACATCGGTTTTCAGATACACATGAGAAGATAGCCTGCAGTGTCTACTTTCAGAATCTGTATCGGTTTTGGTTACAAAAGTGGTTTTTCGCGGATGTTAAGCAAGTTTTGTAGGAGCCTCGAAAAACTGGATCTTCAAATAATAGGTTTTTTCTGGATACTTATGCAAGTAAAATTTTTCTAAACACCCAGATTTGTAGAGCAAACGTTTCTGATCAAAATAAGACCTCGCATAACTCTGCATGATCTTGCATCAAAACGTTACAAACATTTTCCTAGAAGTTCTAAAATTGAGTATTTCATAGTGTTTAATACAGCGTTTTCTCTATATAAGAGTTACACCGGAAGTATTTCCCAAGCTTTTTTATAGCAGTTTGTCATAAAGAGTTTATTCTTTTATTGTTTAAAAGAGGAAACAAAACTACATTGTCTGACCGGCGCCGATTTTTGAATTAGGTCTTAGTTTTTTATTAAATGAAGGATTTTCAGAAAATTCGGAAGGAGTTTTCGGGTTTTGGAGATTGTTGGTTGCCTGAAAACCAATAAAGGCTTAATTGAAAAATCGGCGTGGGTCAGACCATGTAGTTAGGTGTCTAGCTTAAAACAAAACAAACCCGAACTCTCCAGCTTGAAGTATATTAAAAACTCTTGTGAAACACTTCAGGGTCCTTTTTGGACCACTGGATTTCCAGTGTCCATGACAAGTATCGTGCGGTAAACATCGAACTTTTTCTTCACTAAACGCTTCTCGGTTGTTTTTCGCTAGCCGTCAGGAGTTACTTTCTACGTCTTTTCATGTGGAAAATGGCTCCTGACGGCTAGCGGAAAACAATCACGCTTCTCGATCTGTCTGCGATTATTCGGTAACACTGCCATCTGTCTGAGTGTTACTTTAAGAAAACATCGATCTTCTAGAAAAAGAGATCTATATAGACATTTTTTATTGTTCTCGTCAGCTTTCTCTGTACAATCAGTTCGAACCTTTTGGACACTGGAAAACCTCTGAACGATAAGACCTGGAGACAAAAAAAGTTTTTCATTCCTGTAACTCATTAAATCAAACATTTATGGAAAGTTTCGTCAAGATCCGATGTATGGTGTCGGAGCTAATTTCTGAAGGGCCCTTAAAATGTATAAAAAGTTTATAGAAGGCTTTTGTACTCTTTGGACAAATTTGGGATGCTTAGAGATCCATAGGAATCTTTGCGGATCCACGGGGATCTTTGCGCAACCACGCGGAATCCCGGATCCCCGGAGCCGCCTTTTCCCCCTTGGTTTTCTTTCTATCGTAATATATAAAAACTACGGCCGTACTCTTTCCTTGTAGACAAAACGATACCTGCTTTTGTTGTACGAATAGCTGTTAGCGTGCCAACGACTGCAGCGGTCGAAACACCAGCGACAGTAGAAAAAAAAATCTTGAGCAATGTTTTTGTTGTAATTGCTGAACCCCTAAAATGATAGGATTTTTTGTTAGTTACTAGAGAACAGAGGACACATATGCTGTTGCCGCTGGAATGGTCGGTAATGACCTTGTATGCATCGTCACTAGTTCAGACTAGAATATTCAAAGAGAGAAAAAGTTGCACTGTTTGTTCTCTCACATTCTCATCTTCACCCCACCATCATATCACTCAAAGTCTCACGAAAAAGGAGACCGACAATTTTTTCTACTTGAAAATATGTGAAGTCGAAATAGATTTGGCTGAAGTTTTTTTTGCAGACGAGTTGAAGAAAAATCTTTTTTGCAAGTTACTTATTAGCATAAGGACATGACTAATTCGAAAATATCTCTTCTCAGGTCTTTTCCGTTACCGAGATAACAGGCATTATTTCCTAA